AGTTTGGTGAGTTTGTCCGTCTGTTTGCTCTAAACCGACTTATGACAGGTTTGCTCTAAACGTTGCCCACTCAAAGACACGTTCCGCCTAATGTGGGCGGGCTTCCACTAAGTTTCAGGTATGTTTAGGACACCCTAGATATTGTCCTCTTAAACCGATTTTACTACGGCTCAATAGGCTTTCTCATACCAGAGTTATGAGTTTTTCTTACTGAGAAACACTCCTTCAGAGAACGCTCCGCCCACAACGGGCGGGTCTCCCAGATTCGACTTTTCAACTCAGTGCACACCTTTACCCATTTTTTCGGTCTTTTGGCTGCACCTATACCCAAACTCAAGACTTCTGCCGTCGGCAGCTCCTGATTCGACGCATGCCCCGCCCACTGTGGGCGGAGTTTCCCATGGTCCATGTCTGCCCCGTGTAGCCTGACTCATTCTCTACCCATCCCAAACTTGACCTGGACTCTGAAGGTGGTTCCTTAGATAGTACCTAATTTTTTCGAACAGACACACAAAGGCTTAGCGCCGTCCACTCTATCCACTCTATATATAAAGCAGAAGTTTGGTGTGTTTGTCCGTCTGTTTGTAACCAGTAGATTGCTACGTAGATCCAATGAAATCGAGCTCAATGGCGTCTTTAAAGGATCGTGTACCATAACGACCTTTACTGGAAAGCTAGTTCGAGGGGATTTGCATAGTGGGAGCTAATGCCTCTAGAAAACTATCCAACATTGAATCGATTCACGAAATTGCGTAAGAGCTTCAGGCTGAAGCAGTTACGGTAGCCTCCGACGACGGTGACAGATGACGTCATATTCTGAAGACGGTGAGGGCAGTGAAGGAGGGCCTGCGTCACTTATAGAGGGACATTTAGGGAATACTTGCTGAGGAACTTCCGTCAACGACGGCAATCTCTGCGAAGAAATTAGGGCCGACGAAAATAGGGGCCGAATAAGTGCGGCATGGGCAAAATGTCTTTTTTTGCCCTCTCCCCTGTAGTTCGATAGCTCTGGTTGACAAGATTTGGTGAAGATCATAGGAATGAACAGCAAAGATTGAGTTAAATATTCTCGCAGTGGGAGGTGGGGAGGGGGGCGTGAAAATAACTCTGCTGGAAGAGGAAAATACTGGAGAAGCTATACCTGTATCGTATCCGCATTGAGAGTTTTCAGCCGAGTACGTGATGAAAGCGAACTTCCAGGTTCATTAAATGCTATATGACCATCGGGTCCAATTCCTGATCAAAAATGGAGATGTAACATTAAATAGACTTTGTGGCATGAAGTACAAGTACAGTGTGAGCTATAAGGAAGTCAAAGGGTAAGGAAGAGGTGCTAGCAGAGATGGCGAGCGGTAAGGGCAAGTGTGGCAGCATCTAACGCAAGCAATGAAGATTGATTGAAACGAATTCAGCTCCTCATCAGCAACACATCCGATCATTTGGTGTGTTATTTGGCAAAAATTAAAAGAACGTGCGAAGAAAGACAGGAGAAAGCAAAGAGCATTGTGGTAAACACTGAAATTTTTGATATGAGGTCAGTCATGGTACAATGGAAAGACGAAACACTACGGGGAGGGGAAACACGATGGAGTGTGCGAGGGGGAGCGCAGACACTAACTTGTGATGTAATCTGATAAGTTTGGAAGCGGTCGCAGCGGACAGGGTAAAGCACTTGCTCCTGCTTCCAAGTCGCGACAGTACCTCCACCACTTTGGTTGCGGGTCCAGCTATGTACCTCACTCAAAAAAATAACTTCTTTAAAGCAAAGTTCGGGGTCCAGACCCACTTATGAGCCTTTACCGGTGCTAAATCCTTAGCCACGCAGTTGGGTCGCGCCACTTCCCTACTTCGAAAACCGTTATTTAGACGCTAGGCTCTAAGACCTTTGGCACGCTCCACCTGCTGCGACACGCTCCGCCCACCGCTCGATATCTTGACTGCGTCGGAATGTTGGGAGACTTCTCTAGCGCTCTCCGCGCTCACATTATCTCTCATCTCCCTGCCGGCCTTTTGAACTTCTCCGCACCGTAGAGGAAATGGCTCGTATTTCCTAAGCATTTCACGATTTTTTTCTCTTTTCTGCACTGGCGGTCCACTACCTACCCCTACTTTCACATTTAAGTGGAATTACTCATAATTCAATCCTGAATCTTGCCTTTAAGGCTGCAATCGCGGCCCGTGCCTTCAAACGAGCTAAGATTTCCAATTTATGTACTTACAGGCACTACAACTGAAATAAGCTGCGCTTTGTTTTTGTTTATTTTGAAAAAAATGGGTTTTACAGAGTCTAACGCGTGATCAGCGTCCATAATCTATAAGTGCCTATGGTGGTGATAGCTGCTATATTCCAGGCTTGATTCACACAAAGGTGATAAACCTCACCTCCTATGAAAAGATCGATCCCTCCAACGCTGGCAATCTTCTCCTCATACTCACGACACTCCTTTTCAACGTCTTCTGCATTGCCGTCGAGTATGTGCACATTACTCGGTTCAATATCAATGTGACGAAAGAGATTGTTGTACATAAATGAGTGATAAGATTCTGGATGGTCCCTGGGCAGACCTAAAGTATTAACTCCAATGAACATCCCAACAAAAGCGTAAATAATTAATATCGAGAAATTATTTTCTCATCTACATATAACTCTTACGCTCGACAGTGGGAAATGAATTGCGAAGTCGACCGCTAATCCTTCTATTGTAAAACCAGCTTGCGCTGGTGTCGAAGTCCGCGATCCGTCGCGCGATTCGCGCGAATCGCAAAGCTAGCAAGTGCCCCATTTGAACATTTGAAACACTGAATATGAAACAAGTGGAATCATGAACAGTCGTCATTCACCATCACCATCAAGCAGAAATGGCGGCGGGATTGGAGAACACCTGCAGATCGGGGCACTTGTGATTTTCTGTGAACCGTCGCAGATTTGCGCAAATCGACGGATTGCGGACTCTGACACCAACCTAACTTATTGTGTCAGTTTTTATGTAGGTATGTATGTCCGTACGCGAAATGAAGTGAGTGGTAATGCAGCTAATGTAATAAAGAAGCAGTTAACATATCTGGGTAGCTCGCAGAGCTGGGCTGTTTTGATGACATGATTGTGATAACACTCCAACGGCTTTATAAGGTCATTCCAAAAGGTGTTGCAGTGGCAGCTGGATAGCAGTGGAAGGAGGAGGAGCATGACAAGGAGAGAGGGAGGAACAAAGTTACGCAGGGAAAGGAGGTTCCGGCATTTGCCGGGGACCAACCTCGTAAAAAATAATGGAGGGAAACGACCCGATGAGAATGAACAGGACATCCTTCTTGGGTGGTAGATGAATTATAAGCAAATATGTAGTTGGAGGTAGGCAAAGAGGCACTGGGCGTTAAGGCAGAAGGAATTGCAGACTAGAGAGCATAGGGGACATGCGACACTCAGACACATCGCATCCGCAACCGTTAGCCTGCTGGAGCAACTGCAAGCTGCAGGTCCCTCGCACCCTTGCCTCGCGTTTCGAATCGCGAAAGTGGGACTAACTCCCGTCTTGGAGCAAACCGCGATGGATCACTCTCGCACTTATTGAGCGCAATGCTGTAATTATCAAAAACTATGGCGTTTAGAATCTTGTCCTGCTTTGCCTCAAAAGCACAGGTTGAGTCGAATTGGCATACTTTTGCACTTGAATGTGAGTGCAGAGGTGCGAAGTGGAACGCCAGAAGGCCGAAAATAAAATCCCTTTATCGGAAACCCCGTGGCATCACCTCTGCGGTTGCAGACCGAATCACATTATCGATGAAGGCGTTGCTTTGGTAGCCTATTCCCGACTCAAAACTTTCACCCTAACCTAGTCCACCACCACGTTGTGAAATGCACAAATCCAAGTTTGCGGAAGCAGATGCATGGGCGCAGCAATTAGCGCGAAGAGCTAAATTCTAACTCAATTATACTTGCTTTTCTCACCAACGTACTCGTCCATGTTGAATGTTATCACGTATTTGAACGACAGTGTCCCTTCCTCGTAGAATTTGATCAGTTTTTTGTACATACCTAACGGTGTGGAGCCTGGGAAAGATACGAGTTATATCAAACACTGAACAAAAATCAAAAAGAATTAAGCTCAAATAAATCATTGAAAATAT